CATACCAAAATGGAATTTTCGGAGCCAACAAGTAGGCCTGCCCGGCATGAATCCAAATTGATTTTGAGAAACATTAGTATCACGCCGCAACCTACGCTCCATAACTCGCTCCCATAGTTTTAAAGTATGACACATTAACATAATTCCTCTATAATTCGCACACTCCTCTAATTACACCATTCATCTTGGGAGAAATTAAAGGTATCATAATTTGAAACTGAGATTCTATTGGCAAAAAGTGAAAGGGAAGAGTTCATTTTATATTTATACGAGACCTACCTGATGATTAAGGCAAAGCAACAACGACATTGTGTTTTTTTGCAGCGTTCACCCATTTTTTAGTGGAAGTGAAAATTACTATGGATTTTATGATGGGTTTCCCTAGGTTGAAATAAGGGCATGAAGTTAGTAGGCTGATATTGAAACAATTGACTTAATAAAAAAAAAATTCCTTGCTATGAAACAAACATACATTGTGGAGAAATTGGCTAGGCAGTATATGAAGGAAACTGTGAAACTGTGTGCATTATCTAAACCAATTATATCTAGTCATGATCTTAGATTTATTTCTCGATTATGGAAGAATCTAGATAGTGAAAGAATAGATGGGATGGTTTGGTTAAGAAATTGTGTTTTACTATAGCCTTTCACCCAAAATGTCAAAAACACTACACATATTAAAAGATTTGTTAAGATTATATGTTCTTGATTTTGGAAGAGCTAAGAAGACAGATATTCCACTAGTTGAATTTGCTTATAATAACTACTACTATTTTACTGTTAGAATAGCACCATATGAAGCATTGTATGGTTGGTAGTGTAAAAGATTTTTTTCATGGATGGAAATGGGAGAAATAAAATTATATGCCAAAAGTAGATGATATCGTAGAGAAGATTGGATTGATCAACAGACATAACGAAGGAAGCTCAAAATAAGTAAAAGAAGTATAATGATCTAAACTCCGGTGCAATAGAATATCAGGTGGTTGATTTTATATTCATTAAAGTTAGTCCATTAAAGAGAGGGAACAAATTTAGCAAATAAGGGAACTTAGTCCTAAGTATATCGGCCCCTTTGAAAGAATAGTCAAAATTATAAAATCTGCTTATAAATTGTTACTATTGGATCTCATATCAGATGTACGGAATATATTCACATTTCTGTACTAAAAAAGGGTGTTTCAGAAAAAATTGACAAAGTTCAAGTAAATAAAATAGATGTAAAATATGATCTAACTTACAAAGAAGAATATGATTGTATATTAGCTTATGATGTCAGCAATTAGTAGGTTTTAATGGTGAATATTCAGTGGAAGCATAAATTTAAAAAGAAGCTATATGAGAGGAATTCAAGATGCGACAAAGTTACCCATATTAATCTTAATCAAGTGCATGTATTAGAATACTGAGGATGACATTATTTCCATGGTGAGGAGATTGTAATATTCACAAAGTTCAATTATATTCAGAAACACACCATAACACACTTGAATGCTTGTTTGTTTTCAGTATATTTATATAAATGCATACTCAGTTAATATGAAACTATGTTATATCTAAAATGTATTTTTAAATAATTTTGGTCATTGGATGATTATATCAATGTTTGGCCAAAGAACAATAATATAATCTATTGAAGGCTTCCTGGAAAAATTCCTCAAATCTTTACTTACAGCAATAAAGGCTGATGTTTTAAATTTTGTTTTTTTCCCGGTTTACTTATAGGGTAAACCGAACTGACCAAAAACTCGGATCGGGTAGCTGGAGCACGCATGGAGGCTTTTCCTGCAAGGTTCCGCCGGCTCAGCTATTGCGATCGGATCTTCCAGATGGGAACAAGTGTCCCGCGTGTGAGTCTTCCGGTTGACGCACGTACGCAGGGGGAAGTTGCGACTGTCGGCGGTGTCTGGCAGCTCCGGCGGTTCGGAGGGCTGACGATCATAGGTCTTCCGATTTTTTCTTCTTATTTTTCTATTCCTCCGGCGGTTTGAAGGGCCGACAATCTATGATCGTTCGTCAACGACAATGAATGTCGTGTGTATCTAATACCATGTTAAAAACATAAGGTCCGAGAAGAGAATGATTAGTTTATTACATGATTTCTTTCTCATTTATAGATCTATACAAATATCTTAATATAAAAAGAAATAATTATAGATTTATTCATAATAACACTAATATAATCCTTCCTAAATCAGCTACCCGAATATGGAAAGAATTTTGGCGCGAGTAATACGCCCACGGATCATGCACTATAGCCGTTGGATCTTTTTGCACTGAACGGTTGGATTTTAACATGGTGAAACCTTTAATAACCCATATCATCTTTCCTTTGTCTCGTAAAGAAAAATAATCATTAAGCTCTTGTTTAACTATTTCTATGTCATACCTATAAACATGGGGCTTATCCAGCTAGTTTTCATACATAGTCATATTACTATAAAAGATGCAAATAAAATTAGAGTGAAAAAGGTAAGCTACTTATAGGAGAATTCAGTTTGAAATAGTGGGAGGATGTTACAGCCAAATTCTATGGTTGGATCAATACAAAGAGGAATAGTGATTGAGGCCCGATTTATACTACAATGCAAGGCCTTGTGTAACCTTAGGAAGAAGATGCACCACATCGTTGATGATTAGATTCTTTTTTTAGGCTCGCCTGACATCTAAGAAATGAGACGAATAGAGGATGCACAAAAATGTCGAGAAGAGTAGATTAGTAAGAAAAAAATATAGCAAAAATGAATCAAAGAAAGAAACTAATGCCTTGATGCTTCCTCTTGTTGAACAGCTTTCCTTTTATTGCCTTGATGCTTCCTCTTGTTGAACAGCTTTCCTCTTATTGACTTCGACTTAGGAATGTGCGATAGAGAAGATAATATGGCAGCCAAAAATAGGAATATGAGTGGTATTTATAGGAAGGAATGAAGAGTTATTGAATTTTTAAAATATAGAACTAGCGAGTGTAGTAAATAAGGTAATAATGGCTATTAATAAGTTTTGAATGCTTTTGCGGTTGAAAGCTGGAAAAAAATTTCCATGCAAACTGAAACTCCTCAGATACTATGTGGCTGAATTTCTTGGATTATTTTAATAATTTTAGTATTGCATGTTTACATTTAAAGAAAGCAAGTGATTGAATTATTTGTTGGCTTGTGATTAATTGATCCTCAACTCTTTTGTAAGTATTCATAATGAGCCCTATATTAATTGTATTAGAAATTTCTAACCAAGAGTCATCCTACATCAGGTCCTTCAATCAAAATTTTAACAAGCAGCACCCACATGCAAACTCCGGAAAAATATAGAGATTCCATAAACAATGCTAACACGACCTAAATGGAGAGATCTTGAATTAAGTTTAAGAGCATAATCATTAATTCAGTCTCTGGCCTTTTAAATCAATTTAGATAGAGGTTAGACGGCAAATGAAGAGGTAATGTGTGTCCGTCAAGTGATAAAGCAATTAATGGCTAGCATCTACCACTTCACACAATTTTTACGTTTGACAAATGCAAAGAAACCTTGTTAGTTATTCTCTTCGGTTACATATGACAAAAAAATGTCTAAGAATTCTAAAAGAAACTTGACTAGTGGTCATACAATTTTATAGTTTGGGAAATGCAGAGAAACCTAATTAGCTATTCTCTACAATCGCATTAGTGACTGAATAAAAAGTAATAATAATTCAAATTATATAAAATGACAAGCAGTTCAGCAGTTCTCTTCTAGCTTCTATTAAATCTAGTTTGAAATGTTAAATGTTTAGAAAAAAACAAGCTTACTTTTTTCTGACTAATCAAGATTATTTCAATTCTTTTACTCCTCCCCGTATTTAGAACAAAGGACCTGCACAGCTCAATTCAACTATTTTACATATCTACCTAGGAAAAGAAAAATAACGAAAAGTTTTTACTTCAAAAGTTACGAGACAGCATGAGATCAGCTCATCCCTGCCTACTTAATGGAATTTCCAATAAGGGTTTATTTCAACGTTATTGTTATCATTGTTACAGCTAGTAGAACATAAAGGCCAGTTAATATGTCCTAATAAAATTCAATAAACAAATTAATCATGGGAATCCAGTCAAGTGTCATTCTTCTGTCTTCTTAATGCATTGAGCTTAGAACAAAATGATGGTACAGCCAAATATTGGCCTTCAAATCGCTTCAAGATGCTTGAAGGCTCCTCTATCAAATCCATAAAATCAAACATAAATCTAGAGGAATCAACCAAAATATGATGGTCCAGCTCCAATCACACCATATACTATTCTGAGTCATCCTATGACCAGATTCCATTTATCAGCCACAAGGATTTCAAAGAAAAAAAGATTCATCCATCTGTCAGTCACCTCTAGGAGCAAAATGATGTGGCATGATTCTCGGAGATGAGACGTCTCACTTCTCTTCTCTCAAATTGCCTGAATAGCAAAAATCTCTCTCAATCAGGGTATTGACTCCAACCACAATTCATCCACGCTGAAGTACCAAACTACGTTCACTTCCTCCCTCTTCCTAAGGGAAAAGAAAAAGGAAATTTCAAAGTTCGTAGAAATAATTTTAATTGTTTCAATTCCCTTCGCAATGATTCGGCCCTGCCATTCTTTCCTAAGCTTATAATCCCTCTTATTGAATTGAACGTCCTCGTGACTTCCAGCAGAAAAATTCCTTCGTCCAAACAAGCATTTTCTTTAATTATGTGCACGAAGTGAGTGATCATTGTGAATAACATGTCTTAACAATTGCTATTGACTTTCAAATATTTCATGAACACAATAATTCTCACCATTTCTTCACACTAATTGCTTTTTACTGAGCTCATTTATCATACGCTAGCAAATATGATTATGCCAATCAAAAAGTTTAAATAAAAGGCCAACAAATGAGTAATTATGAGCAGCTTATCAGCTTAACAGCATAATATTACAGAACAGCTACAATAGCAGCTTGAACATAAGGCAAAAGGAAGAGTAAAGAGCTATGATAAATTGTCATACCTGCTCCTCACCATACCATATTTCATCAGCAGCTCGGGGTGCTATCTGAACAGTTATGTGATCAAGGAGGGACTGCCGACTGCATATTTGAAGAGAAACAAATCATGGACAAAATTTTAGATGGTTGGAAAATCTACATGACAAAATCTACAAGACAACGTAGTATGAGAATAGATAATTATGAAGACATGCTTCGATTATCTTGCACACTATTTATTTATGTTTATTAGTGTTAAATCACAACCATCCCTTGGCCCTTGATCCCACGGCCAGCATGGGAATCCATAGGAGTGTTAAATCCCAATCGTCCCTTGATCCCATGGCTAGCATGGGGATCTATGGGAGGTTCACCTAGATTACATCGATCTCCTTTCATATTTGAGCTGATTTAAGAAGGATTGCATTTGGGCAATTATGCATGATTATGTAATTATTTATTTATTTATTAAGATATCTTGTATAGATCTATAAATATGAATAGTTTTTTGGAATAAAATTAAGCTTTTTCCCTCTCCAAATCTCTGAATTTAACATGGTATCAGAGACTTCCTTGTTGTTGTCGGAATTCTGAGTTTTTTATTTCCTACTATTGTGTCTCCATTACCGGCCTTCTCGTATTGTTATTATCCTATCTATAACCAACACAACATTCATTACTGCCCTGCTTAATATAGCCTTTGCCACCGCAATTTCTGAAACAAATTCCTCCCAAATATTTGACCAAATGGAGGACTTCATCGTGCACCAAGGAAGAGAAGACCTCCAAAATATGCAACATTACTATCGCTTAAATGGGAAGAATTACTTGAAGTGATCTAAATTTGTGAAGACCTACCTAAAAGAGAAAGAAAAGATGAACCACATCCTTGGGGTAGGACCAAAAGAAGAAAATTCTAATTTTTTGTCATGGGATGAAGCGTACTCCATGATTATCATGGTTGTGGAATTCCATGACTACAAAAATTAGAGATACTTCCATGTTCCTAACTACTGCGAAGGAAATATGGGATGCCGCCAGTCGCCAGACAAATCTTCTCAAAAGCTCAAGATGCTGCTCAATTTTTCGAGATTAAGGTCAAGGTGGGAAGCAAAAAACAAGTAAGATCGTGACCAAATATATCACTCTCCTTCAAAGCTTGTGGCAAGAACTTGATCACAATAGATGAATAGAGACCAAATGTCCAGAAGATGCTACTATCCAAAAAAACTTTATTGAGAAAGAGTGAACGACTTTCTTGCATAATTAAATGCATAGTTTGATCAGGTTAAAGTTCAGAACCTTGGCAGGTTTATGGATCATTGAGTGTCTCTAGAAATAATCTAACAGGCTTATGGATCATTGACTCAGGAACCACATGTCACATGACATACTCAATTATCCATTTAATCAACTACGCTCCTTACCCGAGTGATAAGAACATTACTATTGATGGTTGTCTTACCATAGTAGCAGGCCGAGGAAACATACCCTTATCTTCCTCTATTACTCTAAAAAATGTGCTCCAAATACCCCAACCATACACAAACATAATCTTCATATAAAAACATACCAGTGATCATAATTGCCAAGTCTTATTTAACTATACTTGTTTATTTTAGGACAAGGGATTGGGGAAGAAGATTGGATGAAAGATGGACTATACTACTTGGAAGAGTTGAACAAATCCACTATTATCAATAATGGCTATTATATGTTATTCCTATTTATTAAAAAATTACTATTTAACTTCATCATTTTAGATTAGGATGTCAATCTTTTAATGTCTTAAAAAACACATTCAAAACTTTTTTATGAGTCAAAAAATAAATCTTTTCAATATGAAACCTGTGAGTTAGCCAAGCATAAATAAGTTTCTTTTTCAAACAAAAATGAGAGATGTTATACTCCCTTCTACCTTATTCATAGTGATATATCGGAACCCTAAAAAATCCCTAATATTTCAAGGGCCCAATAGTTTATATCCTTTATTGAAGACTGCACTGCGTCTCTTAAATCTTTCTTCTAAAAAATAATTCTAATTTTAGCACTATCCTTCATATTTTTCACACCATGATCCAGAGCCAATTTAGGGTGAAAATAAGAAAATTTAGTTCCTACAATGCCAAAGACAACTTTAACCAAACCTTATCATCCAACTTTCGAAAGGAATGTATCATTCATGAGTTTTCCTGCATTCACACCCACAACAAAATTGAGTTACAAAAAGAAAAAATGACACTTACACTCAGATGTATGATATTGACTACCATGAAACTTTTGCACCTATGTAGAAGATGAACACCGTGAGTATCTTGCTCTCACTAGAAGCTAATTATAATTGACATCTGGAATAGCTAGATGTCAAAAATGCATTCCTATACGGGAACTTGGAAAAAGAAGTATTTATGGAGATTCAACCATGATTCAAGGAAAATTCTGGGGGTGACAAAGTGTTTAGGTTAAAAATGCTCTATATGGACTAAAGAAGTTACCTAGAGCTTAGTTTGGATGTTTTTCAAAAGTCATGCTACTGAATGGATATCGACAGAACCAACGGGACCATAGACTATTCTTCAAGAGCTCAGGCTCAGAGGGAGTCACGGTTTTGTTAGTTTATGTGGATGATATCATCTTGACTGAAAATGAGAATATAATTCTAAGGAAATGTCTTGCCAACGAATTGAAGATCAAAGAACTTGGTAGATTAAAACATTTCCTTGGAGTTGAGATAGCCCACTCTAGCAGAAGAATCTTCATTTCATAACAGAAATACATTATTGATCTTCTTAAAGAAATATGTAAACTAGCTTGTAAACTAGCACCAGTAGAACCAAAACTTAAAATTAGGGAAAGCTAAAGTTGGTCTAGACATAGAAAATTACCAAAGACTTATAAGAAAATTGATCTACCTTTCCCACACCATACCAGATATAGCCTTTACTATAAGCATGATTAGCAATTCATGCAAAATCCAAAGTAAACTTATATTCAGGCAGTAGACAGAATACTGCACTACCTTAAGGGGAATCAAGGAAAAGGAATTCTCTTTAGAAGAGAATGTGGAATAACCCCATAAGCATATACTGATGCATATTTCACAAAACCACTAGCACATAAATGATCTACCTCATGATACTAAGCATTCCTTGGATGAAACTTTATAACATGGAGGAGAAAAAAATAGAATGTAGCAGGAAGGTCTAGTGCAAAAGCAGAGTTCAGAGCTAAGGCTTTAATAATATGTGAACTATTATATAGAAGATAATTCTAGAAAACCTAAGGGTTAAGTGGGAAGGACCCATGAAGCTACACTATGACAACAAATCAGCAATCAGCATAGCTCATAATCCAATTCAACATGAAAAGATCAAGAACATAATAGTGGACAGACGTTTCATAAAGGAGAAATTGAGCAATAATTTTATATGTATCCATCATGTCTCATTAAAAGACTATCCTAAGGACATTCTTACCAAAAGACTTGATAACTCTACATTTATGAGACTAATTACCAAGCTGGGAATGACAAATTTGTATTCTCCAGCTTAAAGGGGAGTGTTAAATCCCAGCCGTCCCTTGGACCTTGATCCCATGGCCAACATAGGGAGCCGTGGAAGGAATGTTAAATCCAAGTCGTCCCTTAACCCTTGATCCCATGACCAGCATGGGGATCTATGGGAGGCTCACATGGAGCATGCCGATCGCCTTCCATATTTGGATGGCTAATTTAAGAAAAATTATATTAGGGCAATTATGCATGATTATGCAGTTATTAATTTCTTTATTAAGATATCTTGTATAGATCTATAAATTTGGATAATTTTGGGCAATAAAATTAAGCCTTTTCTCTCTCCAATTCTCTAAATTTAACAAGTGAACAACAAATGAATACAAACACAAAAAATAAAATCACAATCTTCAATTAATTTTTCTCAATGCTAATAAAGGTGAGAAAAATAAAAAGAATAATATGCGTAACATACCTGAGCATTCCACTGCTAAACTTTAAATGATCCATTTTCACTCGTACATACCCCAATTCTCTTCCAGCACGAGGGGAAATTGTGACCTACTTTGAATAAGACATGCTAAGATGTTGCTTTGCTATTTCCAAAAGTAGTGTGAAAGCAAGTAAAGCTGAAAATGAAATGCAAGTAACAAAAGCAAACCTCCTAAAACCTATATCCATATTCCTATGTATCTTACAATTCATAAGCATATTTCATTGCGGGCACTCAAGGTACAACCACTCCAACCAACGTCACCAAAAAGAAAGTTCATTTCATCAAACAAGCAGAAAACAAGCTTCCTTGATCATTTTATCATGTCAAACACAGCTGAATAAGCAAAATAAAATCTAGCACGCATTTTATCTGTGCATAGATGAACTTTTGCCAATCAAGACAAATAAATGCTGGCAAATAATAAAGGAAAAAAACTGATGCAAAATCAAGGAGAGAATGTACGAGTCCCTACAAGAATTAATGCTTTATAACTTAAATTGAGGAATAATAAGTAAATTAAAAATGCACCGCCATAAGAGTAAAAATCAGAAGCATTGGTTCATATTGTAGAAATGGCAATTAACTATCAGCTCTAGAACTCATATCCTCATTACCTGGTTAAGAAAATTTTCACAAAAATGGATATCAATGAAAAGTTTAAATGTTGCCATCCTATAACTAGAAAGGAAATACATAGAAAGATATCAGGTACATGAACATTAAATTATCACTCGACAGTTCTTATGAATTAATCAAATGGAAACTAATGGAACCTCAAGACAAGTGTTTGTATTATTAATCAACCTTAAAAGTTAGGGCACAATATTTATTATTGGAGGAATGCATCGGGCTTGTTTTGTGATAGAAAAGTTCCCCTCAAACTTAAGGGAAAATTCTATAAGATAGCCTAGAAAAGAGAGATTAGAAAATATGCTTGATTTAATTAATTCTATAATAATCCATTGCAAGCCTAAAATCTATAATTTATAGAAACACACTACAAGATAAATCTAAAAGATAAAATCAAATATTCAAATTCAAATCTAAACCTACCAAAACTAAATCCTATCCGATTTGTTCAAATTCAAACTTGAAATTATCTAGAAATGTTAATACATCTAATATACTAATAAATTCAAAAGTTTTTGAAAATAAATCTAAACCTAATTGTTGGTATGGCATCAATTTCATTGGGGTTGAGAAAACTCCTAAGAAAATTTGGAGCAAGATATTTGTGAACGGCTTATAGTAGAGGTCCATCGGAAAAGACAATAACAGCAATGACAACATCAAGCCTTTATCCTACTATGTGGGATCGGCTACACCAATCATTTTTCTCCATTGTGTCCTGTTAAGGGACAAATTCTCATTTAAACCTAACAAAAAAAAACATTTCTAATATTTTCAACCCAAGTCTGTTTAGGTCTACATCTACCTTTTTTAACATAAGTCAAATCTAATACATTTACATTTCTAACCCGATCATCGGAAGGCCTCCGTTTTATGTGACCAAACCATCTAAGGCGACTCTCTCTAATCTTATCTTCCATTGGAGCTACTCCAACCTTTTCATGTATATGTTCATTTTGTATCCTGTCTCTAAGAGTAAAGCCACTCATCCAACTGAGCATCCTCATCTCAGCAACCAAGGTTTAAAATTGCGTAAATAAGCCTCGAGGCGTTTTTCGTCCGTGAGGCGAGGCGTAAGCCTCGAGGCGGTGTGAGGCGTAAGCCTCACCGACGAAGAATTGCGTAAATGAAAATTTAAGGGTTTTAGCAAGTAAAAAATAATAAGATTCTATCATACAATAAAAACATCTAAATGACAATTAAAATTAGGGGAAAGTAAGAAAATAGATGCAATAAAATCATGTCCCAAAGTACAAAACCACAAAATATTAGTCTATCAAAACTCCCAAAGTACAATTAAGAAAGAACATATAAAATCCAATCATGTCCCATCACTAAATGGATCTTCAAGGGAATCTTCTCACCCCTTCCTCCTCTCCTATAGAGTCCAATGTCTTCCAATCAAAGCATGCACTCATGAAGAAGTAGACTAACACTAACAACTATTACTAAAGATGATGAATAGAACAATATGCCGGACTGCCGGGGGTCCAAGGGGGCGCTACCCCCTGGCGGGGTTCGACCTGAAGTTCTATTTATTTTTGAAGTTCGTAAGTTGTTTTTATGGGAAGATATCGAGTGGTAACGAGTATGTTCCTTAGCAATACCGAGCATGTACCTAGCGGTATTGAGCGGTACCGAGCATGTACCTAGCAGTACCGAGAAAATACCTAGCTGTACCGAGCATATACTGAGCAGTACCGAGCATGTACCTAGCAGTACCGAGCAAATACCTAGCTATACCGAGCATATACTGAGCGGTACCGAGCATATACCTAGCAGTACCGAGCAAATACCTAGCTATACCGAGTATATACTGAGCGGTACCGAGCATGTACTGAGCGGTACTGAGCATATATTTGGGGCATACGCCTCAGCCAGAATTGCGCAATTGCGCCTCTGAGGCGCACCTCAGTCCAAGTGAGGCGTACGCCTCTGCCAGGAGAGGAATTGCGTAAGCCTCGAGGCGGTTTTGGGTCAAATTGCGCAGAGGCGTGCCTCAAGGCGCGCCTCTTATTGCGCAATTTTAAACAGAGTCAGCAACATTTAACTTTATATTATGTTTCTCTTATAATGTCCAACATTATGCACCATAATCATTGTAGATTAACCATCATCTTATAGAATTTTCCCTTAAGTTTGAGAGGAACTTTTCTATCACACAACAAGCCCGATGCATTCCTCCACTTCAACTATCCAAATTGAATTCTACTAATAATATCCCCATCTATTTCACTATCACTATGAACAATAGACCAAAATTCACAATCCTTGCAAATGTCTAGTGAGAACATCCTTGAATAAAGCAAGAAGATATGGGCTTAGAGCTGATCCTTGATGTAATCCAACTGAAATAGGAAAATGCTTGGTCAAACCAACTTGTGTTTGAACGCAAGTAACAACTCCTTCATACATATACTTAATGACTTGGATATAAGCATTAAGTACCCCTTCCTTTTTATAAAACTCTACACAACACTTCTCTTGGAACTTTATCATATGCTTTCTCTAAATCAATAAATATCATATGTAGATCCACCTTGTTCTCTGTATACTTTTCCATCAAACCTCTCAATAAATGTATAACTTCCATAGTTAACCTTCCGGCATGAATCCAAATTGACTTTGGTATCCCGCCGCAACCTATGCTCCACAACTCTCTCCTGTAGAGTTAAATTATTTTGACCAATTATTTCTACAATGATCCATTATAAACCTTGAATCAACTATTTATAAGCATATTATAAAAGATAAAATCAAATATTTAAATTCAAATCAAAGCCTATAAAAACTAAATCTTATCCTAATAATTCAACTTCAAAATTGAAATTATCCAAAAATAATAATAATAATAACTCGTCTAATATAATAAGTAAACAAATATTAAATTGTAATAAATTATAAATTTATTATAGATAAACCTAAACCTAATTTCCAATGTTTCACTATGATGCACCGACACATATCCTAAAAGAGGTATGCGGTGTCTGACACATCGAACATGATGTGCGTCCAGCATATGCCAGAAATATCAAGGACGAGTTCGATTAGAAAAATATTAGAAATAAATTGGACGCACACACCTCACACATCTTTAATATTTTATCAAAAATATTTTTTAAATATAATTTCTTTTTTTTAATTTTTATTTATTAAAAAATAAAAATTAATTTCTTACTTCTTCTCTGCAACCCCAAATAAATTGCCCGCACTCAATGACCCATTCACTAAACATTCTCATTTTCATTTCCCTCTAGCTAATCATAGCTAGGATTTCAAAGCAATGCCCGATGACATTGAAGTTCGACGTCAACAATTTTTACACACAATCATACCCAAGCACCAACTCGATGTCTCATCTTTTTCCAGCATCATTTCAATATCGGCAACCGATGTTATCTCAAAATTGGCTACTAAAATCATCTCAACATCGGCTACCGAAATCATCTCAACATCAATTAAACATTTTAAATAGAAACATTAAAGTTCGATGTCAACAATTTTTATACACACAATCATACCCCGACACAAACTCGATGTCTCATCTTTTTTCAGCGTCATTTCAACATCAGCAACCGATGTTATCTCAACATCGGCTACCGAAATCATCTCAACATCAATGAAACAATTTAAATAGAGTGGTGGAGATGAAGAATGAGAAGAGAATAGAAAATAAACTTGATAAGGTATATAATCAAGTTGAAGCAACATATTCGTGTACAACAATATGTGCTCAAAACCTCTCTGTAAAATGTTGAAGTACCCAAAAACCATCCAAGAGGTCTCAACAAAGTGTCCAACATTTTTTAGGATTTTTAAATTTTAAAAATTCACATGGTATGTCCAATATGATGTCATGAATTGAATGTATTGTTAAAATGTCTAACACAATACAAAGATCATTGAAAGTTTTTTTTTTCTTAATATGCAAGAATTGATGAATTTATCTACATTAAATAGCATATTACAATGAAGTGCACTAATAAACTAGCATACAAGCATGTATATCGATAATTTTAAAAGCATTGGGCATTAAATGTTAGGTCAGGCTCATCAGATCTACTTGCAAATTAATAATCCGCTTTTACTCAACAAACATAAACCCACTTAAACCTTCTATAATTTGCAAGTGCAGTTCAACATTAGTCAAGCCCAAATTAATTCAGGAAGGGATTGAAATTTCACATATGAATGCGGATTAGATGAGCATAAATACTACAACAACATCAAGCCTTGATCCCACTAAGTGGAGTCAGCTACATGATCATTATTTTCTCCATTGTGTCCTATTAAGAGTCAAATTCATATTTATATCTAATAAAGTCACATAAGTAGAAATAGTTCAGATCAAAATTAAGGTCTTTCAACCATAAGAATAATTTTATTTATACCAACTTTAATGTAGTTCAATGAGTATAGTCATGCTGCTTTAAAATCCTATTCCAGTAAAAATCCAATTGGTCAAAGCACCAATGAAATCAGTTATTGCAAGTCAATATTATCACTTGAATATTTCTTCATCCACTAGTTTATAGGGTAAATTTAGTTTGAAGATAGCCCGACCGGTGGTATGGAAGTTCATGTCTCTATTACTTTTCTTTTTCTGATAATCCAAATATATGCAAAATAATATTGCAATGAAGGGAAAAAAAAGGACCGCTTACTAAATTTGAACAGGCAAATCTGCTAAGAAAAATAAATTAAAGACAATGACAAAATTAATCATAACAAATAGTGGAGTTTTGGGAAATACAAATTCAATATTCTTTAGATCAGGAAAATTCACTGCTACAACAGCCATAGCTGCTTCATTAAGAGCCAGTCGTTTCCACATCTCTTCACTTCTCTCTTTTTTATCAAGCATTCCTCTTTCTTCTATTTGTGCAGCTTGTAATAAGTCGTCTGTTGTTATCTGCATTGGAAGGGAAGCAAATATCAAAGAGTGAAAATTATTCTCAGCAATCAAGTAGTTTAGTTACTAAGTCTTTGACCACAAAAGACTCAAAACCAGCCAAGGAAACGGTGGAAAAATCAAAGAATAAAGCGTGTTATCAATTTCATATTATAGCAAAATAAAAATAAAAAAAAGAGGCACGATTTGGCGGGTTCTTCCAACAGAAAGTGCAAGATGAATGAATAATTCCCGATATCTCAAACTTAAGATGACAAGTAATGGTGTGTACCTCGAGGCAACTATAACTACTTATAAGAAAACTTAGTCTGCGTGTAAGATATTAGAGAGTGCTTAACATGAAACAGGAACAAATATGTGTGGTAATAATGCAGATGTTGGAAGCCTTACGGTGGAAATTTTAAATGAAACTTAAAAAGCCTTTTTTTTTTCAATAGCCCAATGCAGAGATCAAATTCAGGGGCTTGTACAAAATAATATAAGAATATTAAATTGAGATAGGTACACGAAATGTGGTATAGAGTGTGTGTGTGTGTGCAGGGGGGGGGAGATTAAATCTCAAAATACTCAACTATTCCTATATGGCCATTTTAACCACAATTAACTCCATCAAATATATAGAATTGATCCAAATGGACCCTTTGTGACTAAATTGGAATTAATTTTATATCATAATTACAAAAAGTGAAATTATTTCGAATCAATTTTGCATAGTCGATGAACAGCATTACAATAACATGATACTTCAGAATTAAATTGACCATACACTAATAGTCTAAGGACTATTTTGTTAATAGCAATAATAAATTTTAAAAAAAAAAAAATCTTTTATCTAATCCTAACTCTGCATAGCTACCCACAAATTCTCCTATCTTTTCCCGAGTCACCTAGCACATTAAAAAGTTTTATATATATAAAAGCTCAAAAATCTTCTGAAAGCCCTCATTTCGTCTATGTTGCCACACAACCAACCAATTCATGTAAGTTTAACCCACGCATCCTTCCTAGCTACTCATCCCTATGTTAACCCATGTCCAAACCACCCCTCCTCTCTCACATAAGCCCAAGCAATCCTCATCTTTGTCCATTCAGCACAAAGTCGCAACTGCCACCCCAATGAAAGCGGCCAAACCCGCCACAGCCTGCTCAACATAGGTCAAACATACGACCATAGTTCCCACAAATTCTCTCCTCATCCCTTCCTCCCAACACCTCTACACTCTCTCTGTCCCCTCATCAACCCGTCCAACCTACAGCCCCAAGCTAGAACTCCTCTACACCACAACTCATCTTGCCATCAGTGACCAAACCTCGCTACCAGCCACCTCCCCCATTTCATGTATATAGCCACAAACCCCTCTTCTCTTTGCTACGCAAAACTCCAAACATTGTCGGCAGCACCAACTAGCCTAGCTACCCAACATAAGAGAAGTTGGGGGTGGCCCGTTTGGTTTTCAAATTTTGAATTTCCCGGCTACGATCCTGAACGAAATTGAGGGGATGACGGCGGATGGACGCCGGCCATCTTTGCCTCCGGCGATAAATGCTATGTCTACAGGTGGTGAAATTCTATTCAAATCTCTGAAAGCATTGTTTGTCAAAGCTCTGTTCTGAAGAATCGGAATGATGATGGAAAGCTTAAATCATCAAGAGGTACGCTAATTATTAAGGAAATTTCTGAATATGGACCGAATAAGGTTTATAATGTCCCAGGTAAGGGAAAATCTATAGCTGATGAATCTGAGTTCGTAACCCCTAAACATGAATTGCTTTGATCGCCTGCAAAATCAACATAAGTCAGAGCTTCTTAGTCAGGCATGAAAATTTTTGTCAATCGTTTTGGGAATTCAAATGCAATCCCTGATAATGCCAGTGCGACAAATGCGAATTCACCAAATCTGATCAACAAAAATTCTTATGATAATGACGGAAGTTCGTATAAGGTTGATCAAACTGTAGCAATTGAGAAGGATATTTATGAACCAATAGGAACAGATGTTGAGAAAGGAAGAATTCTGAAGAATATGCTTAACATTGGTAAAAGTAATGAAGTTACTGGAATGCAAAATGAGATTATTTCTGCCTGGTCTAAATCGCGGAATATCAAATGCTCTTACATGAATGAACAACCGGAAATGTCAGTGATGTGAAACCAACATGGGGAAACAAGAATTGCAATTTAGAGATTAGTAAAAACTTTAACTTTGCAACATTAACAATAAAATTTAGCTTACTCAATTAGGATTCAAGAAAATTCGTGAGAAATTAAGCGGTAGGCATTGACTACACTTGAGAGTTACAAGAGTCTTGCAAAAGATAACCAAAAGATAACTAAATAACGCAAATAGCTTTCACTAAAGCCACACGTTTAAAGTTTAGACCATTCACCTTGAGGTCCGACAATCTCTCTTTGAAGTGGAGGTTAGCGGAAGAGGGTTGCAAGAAAACTTAGCGATACCACTAAGACACGTGTGATGCCAAGAGGACTCGTCGCCGGGAAGGAAGTGGGAGTTGGAGAAGCGGGCGGATGACGTTCGATGATCCACGTGTAGTCGGAGAATTGGTCGTCGAAGGCGTCCACTAGTGTCGGTAAGATCCGATCCAAGTAATCTTCGACGGTATTGTCGAAGCCAAAACCACGTCAAAGAAAGGCGATCTAAGGATGTGAATGTGGCCGTAGGTGTCGAGTTCGATTCCGTAGTCAACGGCGGGATCCGCCATGCACCATGAACTTGAAGACGAGAAATCCCCTCACTGAACCAAGAGAGAAGAGAGGGGCCGGTTTAGAGAGGAGGAAGGGGCTGGCGGTGGATCTAGGGGAGAGGAGAGGGATTAGGTTGAGAAACTGAAATTGATTTCAGTTTCAAAGGATTTAGGAGGGAAAATTTTGGAATTTTAAATTTGAAATCCCAAATTAAAGAGAGGAATTATTGCTCATTCAATGGGGAGAGCCAATAGGGGGGGCCGGCGGCATTTATGAGCGGACTTTATAGGGCTAGGGGTTTTTGGGAAAAACTGAAAAAAAAATTCAGTTTTTTAAGTGAGAAGGAGGGATTATTTTGAAATTAAAGTTTTGAATTTCAAAATGGGAGTGGGGAGTATATATTGAATGCTAATTATGGGAAGGCCAATGAAGGGCGGCCGGCGGCATCAAGGAGGTGGGGAGGAGTTTGAGGAATGAGGATGAGATTCCAAAATTGGGATGATGATAGGAAAGAAATTTCTCATGAATCCAATATTCATTGAATGAAATTGAATTCAAAATTCTAAAAATTTTCCCTAAAAAATTGGAAACTCCAAATTTGAAATAAATTTGAATTTGGAATTCAAGTTTACTTGGTGGGAGGGTGAGAGAAAGTTGGTTTGGGCCGGCGGGAGGGAAGAACAGCGGGGAATTGTGGTGGGGCCGACGGGTGGGGCTCCAAAAGGTGACGCAAGTGTGGAGGAGGGCCGCTTCTTCCACTTGTTGAATGTGGATGGTGGCGTTTGTTGGGACGAGGGCAGAAAGATAATGGATGCTAATACTAAAGAGAACTCATAAAGAGATCTCATGTGAAAACTACTAAGAGATCTTTCTTGAACTCACAAAGAGAACAACAATAGAAATTCATTTCTACATCAAATACTCCATATTACACAAGAATTGGGCCAATATTAAATAAGCCTCAAATGACAAAGAAAAACAAAAAACTAAAATGGCCCTTGGGTTCAATAGCTACCAAAATACCCATAAGCAAAATGGAAAAAATAAAATAAAATTAAACTACTACATAAAATGATGGAAAAATAAAGTATGTCGTTGGCCGTCGATTCCGGCATCTCCTGAGTTACATGTGTCGTAATCTGATTCCCATCATTCCTCGCCAGTTGGAGAGAAAACTTGACCCGTCGAATGAGTGTCTCTAGAAAGCCCCCTACAACTAGCAAGTTTTCCAGGACATCTCTGTAGCTCATCTCAGCTTCGG